CTACCGGAATGTTGTCGCGCTGGTTGCTGAGTAGTTTTAAGGAAAATAACAAAATTACTCTATGAATGCAATGACTGTCTAAACTCGGCCTGATTTTGATGGCCATCGGGTTTTCATCATGTTTCAAGCAGCGTGTTTTCAACACTGAAAATTTTATCAAGAAATTGACTAACGAAAAGATTTATCATACACACAGTCATTCCTTTCACTAACCTATTGTTTAGTCTCAGACTGTGGCTTGGAGACACTCTAATGCTGCTTCCCATTTAGCTAAATATCTTGGTCTCTTAAGACGAAACTCATCAGATCATTACAAATAATCTGCCCAATTGTTAACCATGACTTCAAGATTGCGTCTCTTTCTTCAAAATAATTTTTGAATCATATTCGAAATAAATTTCGAATGCCTCCAGAAAGGAAGGCCAAGCAACTGTTCCTTGCAAATCCGACCGGCAAAAGGCCCAGGGGACGGCCAAGATTAACCTGGTGCAAACACATGGAAGGAGTATGTTCCAGACTCCATTTGTGTTTTGCCGAAGCTCAGACTCTTGCACAGGATCGGGAACGTTGGAAGCACTGTCTGACGCGTCTGCCTCCGCGACCCGAAAGGAGAAGCGGCGATGGAAGATGAGAATGATGTTCGAAATAAATACTTTAACATTAGTCTTGTTTAACGTACCGTCAAATCGATCATCCATATATTTTAAAATGTTTAAAAATAATTCCTGTACAGCAACACTGCCCTCCCAAAAGTTCCAAGGACTTTTGTATCATTAAGAGGGAAAGGATTTACCGACTCCCCTGTTATTCATGAACACTTGCGACAGAACTACATTAATTTAATTACCCTTGGGCATGCTGTCAGCCTGCTGATCACATATTACTCGATACTCTGACAATTTGATCAGGTCGATATGAAAAAATCTATGACTCGTTTAATGGCACGAGAGATTGCACAAGGATTCTGTTTGTCGCCTGTGCTGTTCATTTTATATGCAACAAGATGTCACCTGTTTAATGCTGTCGCCACACGCGTGAACTACGTTAAGGATATTGCTCTATTTGCTTCAGTACAGTATAGATCTGATCTTGTGCAGTTCGTCGTCTCCATTCAAATGATGGAGGTTAGATGAACGACACC